GACCTAAGATGGGTGTGTTGCTTGATCACCGATATACTCCATAAAAGCATAGTGATATGAAGTGTAGATTTTATTTGTTATATAATTGGTATGGAAACTGTATGAATCTACTGTTTATTTTAATATTCGCTCTTACAAATTTTTACAGGTTAGTTTGGGTCAATTGGAAATGGTGGCGAGATGGTGATGCGGACAGCCAAGTGAATCGAAGTTTTTTTTTTAATGTCTCTAAATTAATTATCAGTTTTATTTATTCAAAGACTCATTTGTTTAATTAGTCCATTGATTATGTTTAAATTTTTAGAAACTCAGATCTTGCATTTAAATTGATATTTATGGTTGAAAATAAAGAATTCCTTTTATTTGAGACGTTCCACAATTATAAAAGAGAAAATTGAGTTTTCCGTAACACTCCAACATTTATAAAAATTTGGAGTGTTACACATAGCATCCATGTTTGGAACATCAATACAATGATTCTTACAAAAAGAGACAACTTGTTGCAAGAAAGAATTCCATCCATCATCTCTCATAAGTTGTAGTTGTTTTATGCAAACTTTCACCTTGTCCATTGCGTGGACAATGTCTTGATCTTTGTTTCGCAATGCCTTTGAAATTCCCAAAACACTTCTCATTAAATGTAGATTAAATGCAAAATCAAACGATTCTATTAACTCAAATAAATTGAACGACTCACTTTTTTTGTCGCAAGTACTAGATCCATCTTCAACAATTATTTCGAGTACATCAATAACAGCCCCAAACATGCTAATCAAGCTGACCTTAAAATTATAATGGGATCCCCAATGCGTATCGCCTGAGCATTGAAGAGTGGTTTCTTGATTAAGTTCCTATCCACTTAAAAATATCACCGTTCTCCAATGCCTCAATAATGAATTTCTCTCGAAGAAGATCACAACATTTAGAAGATGCTCCAACATTATTTAACACATTAGCAACCACACGAAAGAAAATAGTAATCAATATATTCTTCTTTGCCACAGCTACAAAAGCTGATTGCAGTTTGTTAGGAAAATGTGTAATTGGCAATCTGTGACCAAAGGACCTATTTGTCAAAATTGTAAAGTCAAGGACTAAATTGTACAGGTCAAATAGTTCAGGGACTAAAGTTGCAATTTACTAAAGGTCATAGCATAGGTCTAGGGTAAAGTGGGATGCTTTGAAGATGCAAACGGTGCGTTAATATCGCTGGAGTTTCGCCCTGACCTTGCTAGAGCCAAAATTGCAGAAATGACCTCGCTGGAGTTTCGCTGGTCTATCACCTGAGCGAAGGTACGTCGCTCGACTTTCACCAGGACCTCGCTCGAGCGACTATGTTATCTGGCCTTTGGTAATTTTAATGCCTCGCGAATTTTTAACGCCCTATATTACCAAATTCGACCTACTATATAAACAAAACGTCCGATTTTCTTATCGCACCTTTGGCAAACATTAAAACAACAATTCCTCTCAACTTCTAAAGGATCAAGAACCAAAATAAATTCATCTTTTTCATCTTTGATTCTTATGGTTCTTTGAATAAAAACATCAACCCTCACAAAACCAAAACACCCTTTCATATCTCCATATAAACTTCCAAAAGATCATCTGTTTGAAGATCCGGGAAGGAAATTGCTTGAAGAACTGGAGAGCTTGGTGATTCACAAGAGGTAGAAGATATTCAAAGCTGGGATTTTGGTACAGATCTGCAAAATCCAGGATAGCTGTGGTTGATACAGTAAGGAGGTCAGAATATTGTTGGAATCAATAATGTCTGACATACTGTAAGTCAATATCTTCTATAGTGGATCTCTACTGGCTTGTGCCCGGAGTTTTTACCCAGTTGGGTTTTCTCCGTCAACATTTTGTTGCGTTTTTACTGCTTTCTACTATTTATTTTTCAACCGGTAATTCAACTTAGGTAGATAAAGTATGTGAATGAATCTAGGCAATGCATAATTGATGTGACTTGTTGCATCAGTTAATTGATTGTTTTAATTCCGCATAAACACCTATTCACCCCCCTCTAGGTATTGGTTGGGTCGAACTATTGCTTTTTCAAGTGGTATCAGAGCTAAATCTCGAGTCCTGACCCATAGTTGTCTAGATGAGTCAATCACTTTCTGTACCTCCGTATTTTGACGGAAGTAATTATGCCTATTGGAAGGTTAGAATGCGTGCGTTTCTTAAGTCTTTAGATGAGCATGTTTGGGTAAGTGTACAAAATGGTTGGAAACCTCTACTATCGTATCAGGAACTGTTAACCTTACCGACATATCACTATGGACTAAGGATGAAATAGCTGAGTGTAATTGGAATAGCAAGAGTCTTCATGCCCTGTTTATGGTCGTGTCTCCCGAAGAGTTTAGGAGAGTGTCAATGTGTGAAGCTGCTAAAGAGGTTTGGGACATTCTTGAAACTACCCATGAGGGAACTAAAACGGTAAAGAACTCTAAGTTACAAATGCTAACTTCTAGGTTTGAAGAAGTGAGAATGAAGGATGATGAAACGTTTGACGAATTCTATGCTAAATTGAATGACATTGTTAACTCTAGCTTCAATCTAGGTGAGAAAATTCCCGAGTCTAAAATTGTGAGAAAAGTGCTTAGGTCCCTGTCGGAGAGATTTAGGCCTAAAGTCACTGCCATTGAGGAAAGTAAGGACCTAGATGAAGTTAAAATTGAAGAACTGGTAGGATCGTTGCAAACTTATGAACTCACTATTACACAACCTAAGAAAGGAAAGTCCATAGCCCTAAAATCCATCAAAGAAGATGAATCTTCTGATACTGAGTCACTTAGGGACGAGGAAATCGCATACTTTGTTAAGAAATTTCAAAAAGTTCTCAAGAATAGGAGAAAGCCTCAGGATAAAAAGAGTGGAGCTCCTAGCAGATTCACAAAAGTAAAAACTGAAATGTTTAACAATAAAGGGTCGAGTGATAAACCACATTTGGTTAGGTGCCATGAGTGTCAAGGTATAGGTCACTATAGGAATGAATGCCCTAGTTATAAGAAGAACCAAAGAAAATGGAAAGGTAGGGCCTTAGTTGTCTCACTTACAGATAATGAATCTGAGACCAGTGATAGACAGGAATCTTCTAGTAGTGAGGACGAAGGAAACTATATGGCATTTGTATCAACTGTTAAGAGTGAATCTGATAAAGAGAGTGACAAGGTTGAGGAAGAACTTCCAAACGATAATTCTAGTAATGAGGAAGAGGATGACATATGCATATAAGAAGTTTATCAACTTTTATTTAAGGAGAGTCTTAAAATCAAAAAGGTCAATAAAGCCCTACTCAAAAAGGTTGATGAACTTGAGAGAGAAAAAGAGAAACTTGCTAGTAATCTTCAGAATTCACTTAAGAGTGGCAGTGAGTTAAAGTGTGTCAATGAGAAGTTAGAAGACAAGATTAAGACTTTGACTAGTAAATTGGTGAAATCTAATGCTCATCTTCAGACTTTCATAAGTGGGTCTAAGAAATTGGACAATATTTTGGAAATGAATAAGCCTGTAGGAGATAGGAAGGGTCTAGGATATGTTGAGGGTAATACACATGTTGCTGGACCTTCTAAGACTGTTTTTGTTTCTGCCTCTAAGAAAGTTAATGCT